AAGGACCTTTGGGGAATATTTATATTTTGCAGGGTCCACTCATATTTTTCAATAACATCAAGCTTCCACTGCCAAAAAGCTCTGTCTGATATTTTTATTTTCTAGAGTTCTTCCAACCTAGGGGCAACCAACATTTGTAAAGAATTCATTAAAGAGCATTGCAAGGAGTAAATATATTTAAATATAATATTTAAATATATGAAAGTCTGAGTTTTTTTCTTTACAAAATTCGCTTAGTTTGCAGGTTTGCTGCGGCGGGCGGGGTGTCTAGTTAATATCCATTTTAAAATTCAAGACTAATTCCAAACTTTTCAAGACTAATTCCAAATTTTTCAAGACTAGTTTTGTCAACAAATAGTTATGTGTTGAATGTTAATACCAAAATGTATCCATTCTCAATTCTTGTAACCAATACCAATTTTTTATAGTTAAACCAAATTTTTGAAATAATTTGTAAAGAACTTATTACGTTACTCACTTAGATCTTTTTTCCACCTCAAATATTGCTTTCCTCTTCCCATCTTAAAACAGGTTTACTACTTTAATCAATTCTAAGCTTGAATATGGAATTTCTTTGTATGGAGGTGACAATGTGTCAAATTTAAAATCTTTAATAACTTTACAGAAGAAATTTGTCAGATTAATATGTAATGTAAATTTTTATTCTCATTCTCTACCTTTATTTGTAAGTCATAATATCCTTCCCTTCAGATATTTTACAGCTTGTAAATTAAGTATCGAAACAAATCTGTATTTTTAAAACCGAAATAGATAGAAATATTCTGTTTGTGGCAATAACTGTTAACAAAGGTTCCGCAATTTTTAACATCAAAAAATTTTTTTTACCCCCCTAACAGGGTAGGGGGTAAGGGGTGACTTATTTTTTTTCAAATAGCAACCCCTATTGATTGACCCCTCATTTTAAAGGGTTTGTCAAAAGAAACACAATGACGCAAATCCGGGTTGAACATCTCACCCTAGCCAAAATGGCGGATATTCCAAAATGGGTGCTTTTTTACAAAAATTCAATTTTGGAATACCCATTTTTTAGGCTAGGGGTGAGATATCTACCTCGGGTTTGCGTCATTGTTTTTACAAACACTTCAAAATGAGGGGTCACTCAATAGGGGTTGCCATTTGAAAAAAATAAGTCACCCCCTACCCCTACCCTGTTAGGGGGGTTGAAAAATATTTTTGATGTAAAAATTGTGGAACCTTTGTTAACAATTATTGTCACAAACAGAATATTCCTATCTATTTCGGTTTTTAAAATACAGATTTCTTTCCATTATTTGTGAAATTGGTGCTTTTTTACATACAAATCAAATTTTGGAATACCTGCCATTTTGGCTAGTGGTGAGATATTCACCTCGGATTTGCGTCATTGTGTTTCTTTTGACAAACCCTTTAAAATGAGGGGTCACTCAATAGGGGTTGCTATTTGAAAAAAATAAGTCACCCCTTACCCCCTACCCTGTTAGGGGGGTAAAAAAATTTGTTTGATGTTAAAAATTGCGGAACCTTTGTTAACAGTTATTGCCACAAACAGAATATTCCTATCTATTTCGGTTTTAAAAATACAGATTTGTTTCGATACTTAATTTACACGCTGTAAAATATCTGAAGGGAAGGATATTATGACTTACAAATAAAGGTAGAGAATGAGAATAAAAATTTACATTACATATTAATCTGACAAATTTCTTCTGTAAAGTTATTAAAGATTTTAAATTTGACACATTGTCACCTCCATACAAAGAAATTCCATATTCAAGCTTAGAATTGATTAAAGTAGTAAACCTGTTTTAAGATGTCATTCAATAGGTGTTGCTATTTAACAAAAATGATTCACCCCCTACCCCCTACCATGTTAGGGGAGTAAAAAAATATTTTTTATATAAAAAATTGCTGCACTTTTGTTAACAATTATTGCCACAAACAGAATATTTCTATCTATTTCGGTTTTAAAAATACAGTTTGTTTCAATACTTAATTTACACACTGTATGTTTTTAAAGTATTGACTATATTTTTCAAATTAAAAATGGTAATGCAGGACCAACAGGTGATAACATTCACAATTATTCAACCAGACAAACTGCACATAACATTCTAAGTCCACCCAAACCAAACTGTACCCTGTTTAAGAAGTGTTTTATTTATTTATCAATTAAAATTTTTTATGTCATTCCTGTTTCTGTAAGGCAGAGTAGGTCAATTGGCGTCTAAGAAATCTTTGAAAAATGGCTTTTAACCAAGTCATATGATGAAATAGAACAGTTGTATTCTTAATATAGTAAGTCATGTCTAGCTCTAAGTATTTATTATCTTTGTAAGTATCTGTATTTCAGAGTCTGTGTTTTCATTGTTTCCTTCAACTTCTTTAAATGTTCTCATTATTATTCTTTACTTATACTTTTCAATGAAATGACGACCATAGTTACATACATTTCATTTTAATTCCTAGATATTGGTGAATTTTGTTTTTCTTTGTTGTCTTTTCCGCAAAAATGATTGGACTAAAGGTCAATTTCATTTATAATCCATTTTGATACCATTTTCAGAGAGAATTTTTTGTTGTTGTTAAGTATTAGTTGAGACTCCCGCCCACACACAGAGTTTTAATCTTCTTTTTGGGTGTGTATAATTTCTTCGCAGTTAAAAGCAAACTGTTTTTTGTTAATTAATTAACAATAAGTTTTGATTACATTGTAAGTTATAAATAATTTGTTTCTTAGATCGTTGTAACTTTATTGTTTTATTGTCCTACTAATATTATAAATCTGAAAGTTTGTGAGTTTGTGTGTGTGATTGTTGCTCAATCACGCATAAACTACTGGACGGATTGGGCTGAAATTTGGCATGATGATAGCTCACATTCCCGATTAACATTAAAGCATATTCTTATCTCAAAAATCCTTTCGAGCTCCGCCCCAGTGGCTCTGTAGTTCCCCATGTTAACCTTATGATTTTTCATATTTAAAAGGAATTAATGGGATCATCTTCAAATGGTCCAAAGTCGTTTGGTCCAACGTTTATATTGCCGTTCGTTTGGTCCAAAATCGTTTGGTCCAACAGTTAAAAACTCGTTCGTTTGGTCCAAAATCGTTTTATCCAATTTCATTTGGTCCAAAATCGTTTGGTCCAACGTTTATATTGCCGTTCGTTTGGTCCAAAATCGTTTGGTCCAACAGTTAAAAACTCGTTCGTTTGGTCCAAAATCGTTTGGTCCAACAGTTAAAAACACGTTCGTTTGGTCCAAAATCGTTTGGTCCAAAAGTACAGGCCAAACTAGAAGTAAAATGTTGCATTGTAGAGTAAACTTATGAAATATACTGTACGTTTATATTGCCGTTCATTTGGTCCAAAATCGTCTGGTCCAACAGTTGTAAAACAGTTCGTTTGGTCCAAAATCGTTTGGTCCAACACATTAATACGAGTTCGTTTGGTCCAAAGTATAAACTATTGCGTCCCTCACATTGAAGGCGTTCAAATATCCGCCGTCGTATACAGTAATAATATTAATATTATTAATACAATTTTTGCTTTAAACATGTTGACTTTCTATGTTTTAACGTTAAAGACGCCATGTTTTGTTGTATTCAAACCACTAAAGCGTACATAAGCAAACTTAAAGCTCAATAGTGTATCATACGGTTGAAAATCTTATAAATTAACAGTACAGAGTGTATAGAAATTCAGTGGACCAACGTATTTTAAATGTTTATCATACACCTTAATTTTTATTGTTGTATCTATTTACAATGATACAATGATACTCATTTTTTGTTGTTGTTAAGTAGGCCTATTAGTTGAGACTCCCGCCGACACACAGAGTTTTAATCTTCTTTTGGGTATGTATAATTTCTTCGCAGTTAAAGCAAACTGTTTTTTGTTAATTAATTAACAATAAGTTTTGATTACATTGTAAGTTATAAATAATTTGTTTCTTAGATCGTTGTAAAGGTATTTAAACCATTCATTAACTTATTAACAAAAAAGAGGTTGACTGGATGTAAATATACCTTCTTCTACTAGTTCCTGGTGTCTCTTACCCTTCCTCCTCCTCGTCGCCATTTAACTATTACAATGTTAAAAATCAAAAATTTAAAAATTGTAAAAATTTCTAAAAAATATGAGTTTTTAATTTTTTGTTCAAACTTTAGAGCACATGCGCGACCGGAAGATAACAACCAATATTTTTTATATTTTTACACTGTTGGTATTACAGTTTAGCAACTTTTCCAAGGTATTACAACTTGAAAAAAATTATTGATTTTTTTTACCCACCCTAGTCTTTGTGTCCCCTGTTCCCAGCTCTCCTGGCAGAGCCGGTAGGTGCGGGTGTGCTCTTTGCTTCTTACCTGGTTTTCTGATACATCACTAATTACCTTATGTACTAATATGCATGGATAAATAAATAATAAATGTAAATATCGACGTGCCCTCAATTCGCCTGAAGCCAAAGCCTGGATCAGTAGCGGTCATCAAACCGTACTCACATTGTAACTTAGGTTGTCGGTATCGATACTTGCTTTAAACACTTATGGCAACGAGAATTGCCTTTAGTACCAATAAATCGCTAATTACAAAAAGGTAAAATGTTTGCATGAATACGTTTTCTGAACATTTTCTTCATCTCCAGGGGGGGATGCTAAAAAGTGAGAATATAACATACAGTGGAACCTTGATAACAAGACTCTCGTAGAGATCATAAAATAAGATTTGTGATCAAGGTTGACTTCTTATCGAGGGTCTTGTTATCGAGGTTCTTCTGTATTACAGTTTGGGGGGGGGGGGTTGCAGCTTAAACATCTAAAAATGTTTTTGGGCTATGCTTAGCTATGAACATACAAGAAATTTTAATTCAACATTTTGTAGGCCATTAAAATAGTTTTGTAAGCCAGAAGAGATATTTTCTTTAAGTAAATATAGCAAGCAAGCATACAGTATATCCCTGCTATAATCAACTTTAAAATTTGTATTATAAAGGAAACTTACTGAATGAAAATCAATGGGGGAAGTAGCAGGAGACAACCTCAAAAGCATCTTCAATTAACGATCCCAGTGGAACAGAAGTGTACAATTTGGGAAGGAAGGAGAAGAGTAGAAGAAGATTTCTGGGATCCCTTTCTCCATCAACGGATGAAATTATGTTGGAAAAGAAGCTCAGAACTCGTGGTGTTGTAATCTAAAGACAAAATACAAATTAAAGATACTGATTGCATTGGTATCAAATCTATTACAAAATACTCCCGCTGCAGCAAAGCTGCCGACCAAGCGAATTTCCATTTGTCTGAATTTATTTTCAACTAAATCTATTTAAATAACACTAAGTTTAATGAGTACCTAGGTTTGCTGCTAAAGGAAATTAATAAAATGTGGTTTTTAGTAAGATATTATTAGCTTAGTATAAAATAAATAAATTTGCCAAGTTTTATCAAAATATATCCAGAAACAAGCAAACTACAACATTTTACAGTATTCTCCATAACAATAACATGGAAATTTCAAATTTGCAATTTTTTGAATTTTCTCCGTAACCAATAACTGTACAAAAACACTTTTAGTATACTAAATTATTTGTTTTTTAAAGCTCTTTAAAATGGTCTAGAGATAAATTGGGAAATTTTGTGTTTTGATGGCAAAAAATGAGAAAACCCAATTTTTACCCCATAAAACCCCGTTCCCATAGTCCGATCATGCTGGTTCGCGAACTCGTTCAAGTTTATCCCGCCTTACTCCTTTAAACCAAATTTCATCAAAATCGGACAAAAATTACTCAAGTTATCGCGTTCACAGACACATATATAACTCTATGAACTTTTGGAAACAATATGATTTGGACAGATCCTTTTTGAAAATTATTATTCATGAAACATTAAGAGGTTCATTGACCATAATGAGAAATCATCTATATGGCAAACATCAAAATTAATCAGTCTTATAGCTGTATAATCCTTAGATATTTTATGTGTACTATTTTTCTGTGTCATTGGCAACCTTATTGTTTAAGGCAGAGGTATTTATTTTATAAATAAATTCTTTTCTCTCTTTTATACAGGGTGTCCCGTAACTCTCTGGACACTTGTATATAGCGTTATTCCTTAGGTCAAGACAAACACATTTCACCATAGGAACATGGGTCTGTGGTGTCTAGTTTACCGACTGTCGGCATTTATGTGTTTTTTACAAAAACATTAATAACTCCTAAACGGTTTGAGATACAGCTTTGATATTTTGCAAAAATGTTAATCTTATTAAGACCTATTATCGTTAGAAATTATACTAACAAATCATTAACCGTTTCAAAATGGCGGCCATTTAAAATATTTTATGCCAAATTTCACAAAAACCGTTAACTTTACAAGAAAATTGCAATAGACAAAAAAGTTTGTAAATTTTATCTAGTTTTCAATGATACCTTATTTGTTAAGATTGGATAAATAATAACAGAGAAACGTGTTGTTTTCGTAATGTATGACCACTTTTCTCCATTTAAACAATGCTAATACTCCTTTTACATTGTTTGGCATTGTTATCCTTTAAGTGGTCATGCAGCCTTAACAGGAAATTTCATTTTATGATATTTAAATTTGTAGTAGTCCTAAATGGGGGGATTTTGGGGGTAACTTAAAGATTTTTAACCTAAACCCCTTCAAGTGACACCTTATTTTGAAGTTTTATAAAAACTTAAAAGAATGGTGAAAACCAGAGTTCGCTATCTCTTCTCTATCCAAAATAGTGGCCAACATTACCATTACATTGATTTTTTCTTATCTCTTTATTGTGTAGACTTTAATTAAGTTGATGGGCTACCATTTTGGAAAGAGAATGGATAGCGAATTCTTTATGTTTTTGTTAACACTTCAAAATGAGGTGTCACTTGAAGGTGGTTTACATTACAAAATTTTAAGTTACCTCCAAAATCCCTCATTTCGGGGTACACTAAAAGTTTTCAAAATCATAAAATTAAACTTCGAGCTACGTTTGCACGATCACCAAAAGGGTATCTCTGTATAGACTTAGAAAAATGTACTTAGAAAGGTGTGTACTTAGAAAAATATTAGATGGGGGGAGGGGTCTTGACTTTTTACTCACCTGTAAGACATAGGTATAGACATAGACAAAATTTATTTACACAAAACATTCTTTATAAAGTACATTTCATACATAAGAACAGGTTTTTTGTCATAGTGATGTATTTTATAGTAAAATTAATGGTTAAAATAGACTAATTAAAATAAACTCAAGTAGGATATCAGAGTATCCAGTGAATAGTAAGCTTTATCAATTATTTTATCTTTTAATTGATCTTTGAATTGAGTAGCATTTAATTTTTTTTAAGGACACAGATAGTCTTGTACATGGACAAAACCGGATCCAGCCCAATATTCGACTTTTCATGGATCCGATCGGGCGTAAGTTCTAGCACAGATCCGGATGAAACCGGTAGTTCGATATCCGGATCCGACTATGACTAAAAATTATTAAAATGTTGAAATATTTGGTTTGTTTAACATATGGGGGAGGTATTAAGAACGTGTAGGACGATCTCATTTTTAAAAATACTACTAATATTTATATATATTTATTACCTTCAAGACGGTTGAAAACAATGTATTGAAGAATTAAATAAAATATTGTTCGGTCATTTAAAGATTGGGTTTGCCAAACAATATTGTTGAATAATGTGCTTGTGACGTCATGGAGTGAGTTTCTTGACAGATGTGGGTTCTTCACCTTTAACAAAGCAAAAACATAGGTATCTTCTTTATGTGATTTCTTTATTACAGCTGTTTTTCTTCAAAACTAAACTAAATCAGAGGTATTTCTGATGACTCTCCTTAAAAATCTAAAAGTTAGACACAAAATAAAGTTTCTTAAAGGGTTGTCCCATTTGATCCGAGTCTCATTTGCCCCAGGACCAAATAAATGGAATAGAAACCCACAATTTTTAACTTACTACATCAACTACAGGAAAACTTTCAAAAAAGTGGTTGCATTAGCTAAATTAAAGGCAAATGATGATTTTATTAATAGGTCCAAAAATAAAAGTAAGCATCTTGGTCAGTCGTAAAACAATAAATCGGATTAAATATAAAAAACTCGGACACACCCAATATGGTAGTGCATTGGCAATAGCAAATAAATTTAACAATTTGTTTTATTAATGTTTCTCAAATTGCCAGCCAAATGACAGATAAAGATAAATCCATTCAACTACTAAGCAATGGTCAAAATTTAATTAGATTGCAAAATTCTGCTTTACAATTTAAATTTTAGGAAAATTTCAGTTTAGGATCTAAGAAAAGTTTTCACCACTCTTAGCAGTACTAAATCTTCAGATTGGGACGAAATTCCCCTCTTTGTTATTAGTAGAGTTTTTAAACTTATTGAACAACCTCTCTGCACACTAGTTAATCAGTCCCTTGAGGAAGGAATTTTCCCTGATAAACTCAAATATGCAGAGATAAACACTCTTTTTAAAAAGGGTGATGTTAACAATCCTTCTGACTACCGACCAGTTGATCTTTTGCTCTGTTTTCCATAGTTTTTGAAAAAATTGTGAAAACTCAACTTATAGATTATATAGAGCAAAACAATTTACTAAATCCATCTCAGTTTGGTTTCCGCTCAAAATCCAGTACTGAAAATGCTATTACCAGGATGATTAACTGCATTGCGGAGGCCTTGGACGGGTTGCAGCGCACAATAGGTGTGCTGTGTGACCTGTCCAAGGCTTTTGACTGTGTTGATCATGATATATTGCTAGAAAAATTAAGTAGACAAGGAATAAAAAATGTGGAATTAAAATGGTTCATTTCATATTTAAAAAGCCGTAAACAAAAATTTATATTACAGAAATGCCAAACTAAATATAAGTCAGAATGGGGTTATACACCCTACGGAGTTCCTCAAGGTTCCATTCTTGGACCTTGTTTATTTTTAATCTATGTAAATGGTTTATACAGGGTGACAAAAAAGTCTGGAAACGGTTTAATATCTTTTTAACTAAATCCGTTAGAAAATTCAAACCTTTCACATCAACTTACATGTATAAAAACTACTTGGGAAAAACTACTTTTTCCAAGAATTATCATTTTTTTACCTCTACCAAGGGACGACCCATGAGGAGTAGGTACATAATCTTTAATGTAAGCATAGGTTGATATGCACATCATTTTAAAGGCCTGGTCAAGTGGAGTTCATTGCCGGAAACTGCGTAAAAAAGGTTCATCCGTTACAAAATGGCGGCTGTCCAAAGTTCTTGTTGAATATACCTGCACAGGCCTTACTATTGGTAAATACTCGTATTAAACATTAGCTTGAGAGCTGAAACTGTATTTTAAAGTCAACTAGCTCATATTATTCAATAATATTATTCAATCTTCAAAACAAATTTAAACGGGTTTCAGATTTCCCGGCTAATGTTGAATATGAGTATTTACCAATTCTAAAGCCTCTGCAGGTATTCCGCAAGAACTTTGGACTGCCGCCGTTTTGTAACGGATGAACCTTTTTTGACGCGGTTTCCGGCAATGAACTCCACTTAACCAGATTTTTAAAATGACGTGCATATCAACCTATGCTTACAATAATAGTCCAGTGCAATTAGCTCCAAAATGGCAAAATTTGGGAAATTCAAAAAAAAAAAGTTGAAACCTGTTGGAAATCATTTATTAAGGTCTCCTGAACCCGCAGAAGAAAGTCCCAGAAAATCCCATGGGGACTTTTCCGCCATTTTGAAAAATAAGTCGGCCATGTTGGATTTATGCAAGCGTTTACGGAAATGGGTGTTACTAGTAAACTAATTGACTTAAAAACCTCCTGTTTGCATAAAAATGTCTTGTAAACTCCAGGCTAGATATTAAATATAAAAATGCCCCCGCCGCAGCAAACCTGCAGACTAAGCAAATTTCCAATTGCCTGAATTTATTTTAAATTAAATCTATTTAAATAACATTAGGTTTAACAAGTAGGTACCTAAGTTTTCTGTTACAGGTAGCCTAATAAAATGTGTTTTTAGTAAAATATTAGTAGATTAATATAAAATAGATAAATTTTCCATGTTTAATCAATATATTTCCATAAACAAGCAAACTACTACATTTTACAATATTCTCCATAAGAATAACATAGAAAATTTTAAATATGCAGTTTTTTTAATTTTTTCCATAACCATTAACCATACAAAAACATTTTGGGATACTGAATTGTTTGTTTTTCGTACGCTATTTAAAAGTCATAGAGAGAAATTAGGAAATTTTGTGTTTTGACGGTCAAAAATTTTAAAAACAAATTTCTATCCCATAAAACCCCCTTGTAAACTTATTTATTTTGACTTATTGTAACTAATAATTAGCATTTTTCACCAAGTATCCTTTTGGTTTGCTGTTATAAGGAAAACGTTTAATACAAATTTTAGTGAATAAAATCTTCTTTCAAATACACTAAAAGGGTTTACCTAAATATTTTAACCATCCTACTCAAGAACCAATAGAAGCGTTCGATACATTTTCGCTCACACGCTTGACGGCCCGGCCGTTTTCGTCACATTTCCCTTAAAGCTCCAAAGTTTTGTTTGAACGTTGTGGATATAGTAGTCTGGATCATTCACTAGTTAATATTACCACTAGATTATCAAGATTATTAGGATTATTAGGAGATTATTAGGTCGTCAAGTTTATCTTCAGTAACTGGTAGTGTATTACCGCACCCAAATCCTGCACAGTGTCCGCACATATGAGAATAAGATAACGAGCTTCTTCGGCACAAACAATACTTCTCGCAATTGCCTTTGCAGTTGCAGAATATAAGATGAAGTAGATTTTGATGAGCAGGTTGTTGAAAAGTTGTTACAGGTATTAGACCCTGACTAGCACTTAGCTTCCAGCCCCAGTCCGTAGCTGGGAGATTGACACCTTTCCACTGCTGAATTTGATGATAAGCCCTCAGGGTGTATTGGAGGGCTGCTGCTTTGGTTGGGGGAATAGAGGCGAGGTTGAAATTTGCACTAAGTCTCTGCTTTGCTATCGTTCTTATGTACATGCGGCGCCTTGCAATGTTAAGGTCAGTTACTTCTCTACTAACACCATATATTTTGGCTATACTGACGGATTCCCGAAGTCCTGCATCGTTTTGGAGCTTCTTCTACGTGGTTTTTTTCCTTTGCTGAATATGGCATAGGTTGTATCGCAACCTGCGTGAATGCGTGTAGTAGGAAAAGCAAATATTGTAACTCACCTAAACCTTCTTGCAGTTTCCTAATATTAAAAATGCGGTGAGGTGTGTTTCCTTTGGCAGGAATGAGCATGAATACGTTGCATCGAGTGAGAGTAATCAACAATACAAGAAGGTCTCTTTCTTGTCCCACTAGTACCAAAGTCTTGGTTGGGGAAATATGCAGAGCTGTTGAAACAATGAGAGTGTCTGCGTTAGATGTAGCTTGTGAAACCTGGCATCCCACGTTTGTGAGGTGTACAGTTAATAGTGCAATAAATCTTGATTTGTTGGTGGGGTCAGTAGGGAACTCTTTTTGAAATGCTGGTATTACTTCATCCTCATTTTTCTCATTTTTGACCCTCAAAACTCAAAATTTCCCAATTTCTCTCTAGACCTTTTTAAAGAGATTAAAAAACAAATTATTTAGTATATCAACGTGTTTTTGTACGGTTAATGGTTATGAAGAAAACTTAAAAAACTGCAAATTTAAAATTTCCTATGTTATTCTTATGGAGAATATTGTAAAATGTTGTAGTTTGCTTGTTTATGGAAATATATTGATTAAAAATGGAAAATTTATCTATTTTATATTAATCTACTAATATTTTACTAAAACACATTTTATTAGGCTACCTGTAACAGCAAACTTAGGTACTCGTTAAACTGAATGTTATTTAAACAGATTTAATTTAAAATAAATTCAGGCAAATGGAAATTCGCTTAGTCTGCAGGTTTTCTGTGGCGGGGGTATTTTTATATTTAATATCTAGCCTGGAGTTTACAAGACATTTTTATGCAAACAGGAGGTTTTTAAGTCAATTAGTTTACTAGTAACACCCATTTCCGTAAACGCTTGCATAAATCCAACATGGCCGACTTATTTTTCAAAATGGCGGAAAAGCCCCCATGGGATTTTCTGGGACTTTCTTCTGTGGGTTCAGGAGACCTTAATAAATGATTTCCAACAGGTTTCAACTTTGTTTTTTGAATTTTTTTACTCAAATGCTATTTGCACTGGACTATAAAGGTTATGTACCTACCGGTACTCCTCATGGGCCGGTGAAGGTCAAAAAATGGCAATGCTTGCAAAAAGTAGTTTTCATACATATAAGATGATGTGAAAAGTTTTAATTTTCTAACAAATTTAGTTAAAAAGATATCAAGCCGTTTCCAGACTTTTTTGTCACCCTGTATAATGTTACAAAAAATGCAGATGATACTGCTTTAATCTGCCCCGAACAAAAAACATTGGAATTCAAACAAGACTTAACAATGTTGGCAAACATAGATTAAGTATCTATCAAAGAGACTCAGATCAGCTATACTTGTTCTTCGGGTAATTCGACATACTACAAATTTAGACACACAATTAGCAGTATACCACGCTTTTTTCTTCCATCATGAATTACGGTGTAACAGTATGGGGTTCTTCTAGTCTGCCGAACAAATTTTTATCTTCCAAAAAAGAGCAGTTAAAGTCTTGGCCAAAGTGTCTCAAATTACTCATAGTAAAGAGT